GGGCGTTCTAGTGTTAAACAACAACACAAATGTGAGCTAGGACATATGTAGAAACGAGTGTAAGAACGCTAAACAACCCATTAAGACAAATTCATAGCAGTCACCACTATCATAATTAATATAAGTTAAGAGCCATTGCAAGGTAGAGGCAACCTTTTCTCACATAAGTTGCTCAATCAATGTCTGAGTTTTTTCATATTCTAACCTCTTTGGAGCTCATTCGTAAAACAACTAAAGGACTTGTACAAAATGAATTCGTGGTTTAGTAGAGATACACTTAATATTAAATACAATAACATAGTTTCAGCTAAAAAAAATTATACAAAAGTCTTAGCGCTAGTAAAACTCTTCCTTGTTGTGCGCGTATGTTCGCACATGTGCGACAGTTATTCTTGTACACGCGCTTGACTACAGATGGTACTCGTTCTTGATTATTTATGTTCCAAATGTCTGGGAAGCTGATCAAGAGTCCACATTTGAAGCGTAAATAGTTAAGGTCGGGTACTATCTATAATCACGAGCATGTAACAATTCCTTCTTGTTTCTCGAGATCTTAACATAGGCGTTACATTCATTTAAGTTTTATCTTTTTGTAACATCCTAGATACATTCGTGTTAAAATAAACTGATCGATTGATTGATACAAACAGCCAGTTATGGCATATGAAAGACATGAAATAAAACGGCAATTAAAAAGAAACACTCTTAACAAATATACACAGAGAATTGTCCTACACTGACATCGCTTTAAAGACTATAGTATTTTAATCAGCGTAGGAAACAGGACAAATTTGATTAGTTAAAGTTGCCTAGTCGTGTTTTGGTATCGCTTACACCTCTCTGTTCACATTTCACTTCCATTTATACTGCCTGATGACGATACTTGATTAGTATTGAAAGCTCACAAAAATTTGTAAATGTACGTAGTTGTTTTCTAAACGTATTTTCAATTAGATTTAATATATTATTAATCCTCTAGGACTTCATTTGATCCAGAAGAAATGTATTATGAATGAAGCCAAATTGTACAATATCATTGTGTAGCTGTATCGGATAATTCCATTATTGAAAACGCAAGAGAGAGGCAGAGAGCGAGTATTAGGATGAATAACAATAATAAATGGCATTATCTGTCGCTTTTGAACGAAAGGCAAACAAACATATGTGATTAGGTCTTTCAGGAAACTAACCTACAGCGGTCAAAACGGATAGAAGAAAGAACATATGTGGTAACTGCTAAAGTTAAATGGTGCAAAGTCTGGGAATTATGGAATTCTAAAGTTATTGAACAGCTAGAGATTTCAAATCTAAGTCAAGCCAATTGCATTTAACGGAAGATGTCCATGCACCTTGGTGGTACAGAAGAAAAATACTCTCATATGGTGGAGACAAAGGCAGTAGTTCTCTAAATACAGTGAAAAGTGTTTGGATGTGAGGATATATTTTACCTATTCAAAAGTAAATGTTAACGAGGCAACACTTATTCACAATAGAACTTAGTAAGTAAGTATACTCAGATACCTTTCGGTGTAGGGTGAGACAATAGAACTGCCTTTTTGTTTACTTTCACTCGTCAGTTATACGTCATGCAAGAGACAGAGAGAAGTTTAGGTACTGCTTGTTACCTCATTTCTTTTTTTTCTTTTTGTTCTTACATAGCTTTGTTTTTTTTAAAGCATGTTGACAGAAAGATCAAATCAAATTTGTCGATATTGACGGTATGATGATGATGTAATCTATTTAAAAAAAAAATATCTTTATCGGTATGTGCTGAAAAACATTAAACTTAAACTGCTATTCTTATAATAAGCGTTTTATAATAGGAGAAGTTTATTGTAATCAAAATCATGACGTTGCTGTTCAAAGTATTTTTATGCAAATTGGTTTTCCTATGGAGACGTGCACGAATAATCGCCTGTTTTCATAACTTCTGCGAGTGGCATTTTTTTATGTTTGGTCGCCATAACGGCGTCCAAATAGACTCTGCTCTTCTTTCAAGAAAGTGTCTCAAAATGGTTATTTTTAAGAAAATAAAGAAGAAAAATAAAAGTCTCATTAACATATTTAATTACTGAAAATCTCAGCTCGTCGCGTGATACCTCAAATCTAGTAGTCGCCCCATCCTGCTAGGCAAGAAAGCCATATATTGTGTTAGTCAGTCCACTGACTATAATCAGAATCAGATAGAACAAAATTTATTGTAAGTTTTCTTTTCTTTTCTAAATTCTAAAATTCGAACCAGGTAGAAGCAGTGAGCGGTTCAAATTCTAACATGAAAATATCAGCTGCGCGATTTTTCATATTTTCCTCATACAAACACAATTCTTCCGCCAACCTTTTCACCAAGCAACATCATTTTTTAACAACAACGTTTCGAGCACAAGTATGAGTGGGAGCACATCGTTTAGTGTCCCATTTCTTCCTGTTTTTCAATATGTGCATATATACAAAAATTTCTCAGTGTGTGAGGTTTCTGTAGAAAACACCTTCTCAAGTATACTGTATGACTGACTAATAGAGTACGAAGTCTCGTGTGAGTGTGCGTACTCGGTTATCTCTGGTTCTGAGATTCAGAGGAAATAGTTTATATACGCTATTTTCAAATGTTTATCATGCGTTTGTTCCTGTTAACGGTTTTCGAACTTTTTTAATAAAAGTTATTCTGTCGTTTCTGACTAATTTGAGTAATCAAGGAAATAAATGAAAAAAAATCATTTTATTTTTCTGTTTTAGATGGATAGTATAAGTACATTTGAGCTGTTGAGTGATGAACTTCATCTCCAAATATTTTCATATTCCGATGTCTGTCAGCTATACGAAGTGTTCTATGGACTCAGTTATCGGTTAGATCGTATATTGAATGATAAACATATTCGATTCGCACTAGACACAACAACTATAGATGATGACAAACATGAGAATTTTTGTACTGTGCTACAACTAATTTCAAATCGTTTAGTATTGTTAACATTATCCAGACAATCTGACTATTATTCATCATTTTTTGATATAGATCGTTTTGATCAGTTGGAATCAATGATCATAGCTGGTTCGTGTAAATTGTATGTTATATTAGATAAACTAAAGTCATTACCAAAATTGACTAAATTAGCTATAGATGGTCTTTCACAACGATACATTGACCTTAATGTTGTATGTGAAATGATTTTATTCGAAAATTATTTATCGCAATTACAAATATTTTCAGTAGAATCTGACAACTTTGTTTGGTTCGATAAGCACGAAATTCAACACCAAATAATCTTAAACACTTAACAATGCTCTGTCAAATAAATGAGCTATCTTTGCTAATTTCAATTTCACCAAAATTAGAATATTTAAATGTATCCACACGAGCGTATACGGTAGAATCAATACCATTTGTTTCATCACTAACATTAAAATATGTTAGATTAGCTGCCATCTATGGTCTTACTTATGATACATTGACGTTAATGCTAGAAAAAATGCCAGATTTATTAAAGCTTGAATTAGTCAGTGGATGTGACGATCAACGCATGGTAGATCGTGAAAAAGTGAAACAGTTATGTCGCTCATTATGCCCTAAATTAGTTAGCATCAAGCTAAAACTTGAAATAATCGTGCATTACGAAGAAGGTTCATTTCTTGCACAACTTCAATGAAACCCGTTTCATTCCACCCGCCTCTAAGGCCGTTCATTAAAACGATGTTACTGACAGACTGAAGACAACATAAAAAAGGAAGTCAAGAATTTTTAGAGACCAAAAGAAACATAAAAGATATCTTATTTTTTTCGCCAACAGTTATGAACAGTTACAGTTATAACTGTAACTGTTGCATGCCTACTGACAAACTTCCACTCATCAATAATTTGTGAAAATATCTTTGACAGAAATATTTTCTTCGCGAAGTGAGTGGTGTTAATTGTAGTTTAGCCAGAAATGAATCGGAATATATAAATTTAGCACATAAGATGAGCTGCATTCATGTCTGACTGAGGTTTAGCTCAATCATAAAAAAGTGCCTGTGTCTGCTTCAATGATGCTGAAATGGACGCTTGAACGGATTGGGACATGTCTAAACTAACTGACCACATTGACATCTATCAGACGATGTAAATAAAAAATTCTTTCGTAGACTTTATTCACTCCATTTTAAAAAGACTCGGAGATTTCGCTGCTTTCTTCGATAGAACCAAGCGCAACAAATGAAACTGATAGTTGGGAAACCTTTCTTTGAGTTCGGGAAGCCTACAAATTTGGAGTTATAGGTTTTCGACCATGCTCTACAAGATGAGGCTACTTAGAAAAAAAATCTGAAATAGTCATTGAGCTTGGTCTGTCGTGGCTTATGTGCAATGGCTCCTAGGTGGAGAATCAAAAGTGAAAAAAGGTTAAAAAGAAGAGCATTTAAGCTTCTATTCAAAGGAGATACAGGCGAAGCAAAATCGAAAAAGTCGCGAGAGAAAATATATGTAAAAGGAGTATAGTGGAAACTGTTCGCCAATTTGTGAAACGAAATAACCTTTAGTCTTTTATTCCTTGCACTATGTAATTTCCAGCAGAAATTGATCTTTTACCGATAAGGAAAAATCGTGATTGCCGTAAATATATTCTCACAGTATTTGTCTATCTCAAAAGCCTTCAATAAGGTCTAGCACTCTGGTTTGTTTTATAAACAAAAGAAGAAAGGTTTAAAAATTAATAGAAAACATCTCGGTTTTTGGGAGAGCTCCCTAGAAAGCTGAAGTATCTTATGTAGAGGCTCAGCAGATATTCCAAAAACATTTGAGTCCACTATTTTTTAAAATGAATAGTAGTAAAAACTTATTCGGTGGGTCTAAACGTTTTTTCGTATATATAACTCGTGTTGCTCTACAAGCTGACGTTGTCGGAGCCTATTCAAAGGAAACTATGGAATGGGTCTCTAGACATCATATTTGTATGGACAGGTGGTAAAATTATGCATGGGCTCAAATGAGCACTAGGTCCCAGATGACGTCAACAATTACCCTAGAAAAGCTCGTTTTTCCTCACATCAACCCGGTTATTTCTTTTATATATGCAGACTATACAGTTGAAGTTTCTATAACATAATGCCATATTTTATGGGTGGTTAGAGGACTGAAAACATAAGGAATCAGAATGCTGTTCGCAAAATCGCGACGGTTCATATGATAGTTTTACAAGTTAAGGTTAGGATTCGGCTGTGAATAATGAAATTAGCGTTACGCTTTCTTCAAATTAAAGTGTACACGGAAAAAGAATTCTTCTTGAAAAGATTTCAGAAAAGTTTATTGTTCTCATTTACCATCTTCAGCATCTAATCGGCCCATTGGATCCCTCCACTTTCCGTCTGAGCCAACCTTGCCATATTCATTTGTCGACTGATTCATGTACAGTGAGTCCATCCATTCTTTTACAATGGTAGGCGAATCGATCATTGCGTTAATCTCCTAAGTGTCGCAAAAGCGTGTACATGATTGATATTACTAAAGGTATCCACTTACTTGAGAGTGAAACCATGATTGAGTGTCCATGTTACCGTTTCCCATGATAGCAACTTGATCATCGACTGACATAAATTTTATATGGCAATTGCGTTTCTTTTGAGACGCGTTAAGTGGGCGGGTTTGATCTGTGAAGAGGTTTTAAATGAAATGAATTCTAAAATTCTGAATTCTAGGAATAATAGCAACGTCTGAACTTTACTTTTGTAGCTGTAATCGTGCAGCCCTCGAAATGAGTTATGATGCAGCCAAATCTTTAGCCCGCCTCTGCTTTTGATTTTCTTAGTCAAACTTAATGCTCAGAAGGAACGCTAGAAGTGACTTGAATAGTCGACAGAGTTTCCAGCTAGGAGATGTAATTGTCTCAAAACTGCTTGAAAGTGGGTCTGTAGAAAACCAAATCCTTGGCTTTTGCAAACTCTCCTTGAGATGTGGCATTCAAACCTGCATTCAGTTTACCAAAAGACCCTCAAGGTATGTTTTCCGTTGTTTCTGTATTAATTCGAGTGATTAGAATGGAATACAGTTTCCACTCACTGCTCTCGTGATAGGAAGAAAGAAAGGAATACCTGCCATTCTAGAAAACAAGATATTAGTAGAACGCACTGGATATTTGTGAAATACACAATGTGTCTGCACAATGTGCAGTTCACTTCACGAGAATTTAAACATTATCTCATTACGGTTCAGAAGCTTTTAAGTCTTATTTCCAGTAGATATGTATTTTTTACAAAAGTCAAAACCCAAGAGAACTAACTCAACCACTAGATCCCAAAAGCTAACTAATCCAAAAGTCATAAATAAATTACTATATATCCGACCCACTCACCCTTTCCTGTGTACCAGTAAACTTCAAGGTTCATTTCTTTTCCATCATTTGTTTCTTTCAAACTCTTGTACAAGTGTTCGACAACTTGCTCATTCGTACCGCCTTGGAACGGAAAGTGACCTTCCGCTAAATCATTAAAACCTAGATCGAGCCACAATGTGACTTTGATGTTTCGCCTACATGCCGCTATAATGCCGTCGATCGCCGGCAATGCATTCAATGTGGGCGATTGAATGAAGATGGATTTTTGAGCGTATCGAAATGCACTGATCCATGCCGCATTCTGAGGATTTCCGAGATCGTTATGACCAGGTGTGCCGTGAGGCAAACGATTGACGAGAGCTATAGGGAATGGTTTATGGGGCTGATGAAAAATGAAAGGTGTGAAATCACTACAAAGACTTTCCAGTTCTTCTGAGGATAAGTTATGATGGGATTTCTTTGTTGTTTGTACAGAGTGAGAGGATTCTGGTTCCGCGGTCGACGCCACGGGAGAGTTCTTCAATAAGTGCAGCGGATGATTAAAATAGGTGTCAGTGTCCTCTACTTCTAAATGCCGCTTTAGAAGCAACCGTGCTCTGACAACAGCATCTTTCATCGGCTCTTTAAGCGAAGCAGTCATATGGTTACCAGCAGCAAATTTGAAAGCCTGGTACGCTGGAGTGTTTTCTCGAAGACACACTAACGCAGGCTTGAAAGGCAGCCACCAAGAGATGAGAAACGTATCGTAAAACGAATTGACAATGTCACCTTCGAAATGGGACATCATTTCAAGATTGGGTCGATCTTGAATATTATTACTGTTCAGTAAGGCAACTTTTCGATCAACGACCAAAAATTTGGAGTGAAATGTACCCATCACCCAGCGATGATAATTGTTAACTTCAACAGAAACGTTTGGCGTTTCATTTGGCATTGGGATATCGTAGTCGCCCCAATGACGCGGAGGTAGTATAGCGTGTAAATGAACAAGATTCTTCTTTGTCGGATGATCTATCATGATTTTAACGATGACTTGTCTATCTTCTGCGACTGCTTTCGTGCTCAAATCTCTTAAGGCCTTTCCGACAATGTTCACACTTTCGCCTTTCTCCCAAAAGTTTGTGGCCAAAAGTACCTCTTTTTGTGCATGAATAATAAGATGATAATAATGGTGCATAATATCGGGAATAGTGGAAATGATGGTAAGCGGTATCACACCCGAAACACCAATTATTGAGGGTGACACGCGACCAGCTAATGGGTCTCGTTCAAGTGTGAATAGAACAGCATTGAAAAGCTAAAAGTCAAAATATACATCACCAACGGAGAGAGAATGTACTTCTTAGCATCGAATTTTTCGTGTAGAACGAAATAAAAAAATGAGAACTGAGACTTTAATTTATTTTTAATTAAAGTAATTAATATTAGCACATCATATAATAATTATTAACTAAGCTTTTATAGTTTTATTTGATATCAATAGAGTAATTAATTTAGAAAAGCCTTTTGCTTCGTGAATGATAGTCTGGAAGTCCTAGTGAGCTCCAGACAACCCATCAATAATGGCTGAATAAAAATTCCTTAAACCTCCATAATAGAAGGCCATCCCCAAATGGAACACTATCCATCATTAGCAGACCACTGTCGATTATACGGCTGAAAGCCAAAATTTGACCGCAACAGAAGTCCAGCCTTCAAATTTCGACTTATGACACAAAATAAAAGACCAAGTGGTCTTCAGTTATGGGGAGAGGTTTATCAAACATCCGACACTCTAAGACCATGTGTGAGCCTGAGAGTACTTTATATTGACTTTTCTGTCATAATATATTGCTTTTGCCTAACTAATTACTGAATTGAGATGAAAGAAAATTGACCAAAACATAATTAATTATTGATTAGTATCATTTTTTATCAAAAAGTAAGTTAAAAACAATTAAATTCCAGTGATTTTATTCTATAGAAAACGGACGGGAGGCGATAAGAGTCAAAAGCAGGCCCCTTTACAGATCAATCTTATATTAAATAAAGTAGCCCACTTACAAAAATTTTGAATTTTTGTAAGTGAGCTATTTTATTCCTTGTGGTGTCTAGTCTATGTCCTAAAACGTTCATGTTTGTCGCTTTTGGCATTTCTGAGATAATTAGGTATGAATTGCGTCTTGGAACCTATAAAATTCCCAAATGTCGAGCCACGCCAGAACCCCATGTCGATGTTTTAAAATGTTTTAAATGACGCATTCTTACTGAGAATTCAATGCTCTTTCAAATGAGATATGTCGCGACTTTTACGGCAAACCTTCATGTAAATGTGGGACATTTTCGAAAGAATCACCCCGATG